GTGGTGATTATTTTTAATAAGGCAACATATTTATTGAAGCAGAGGTGTCTGTCACAATAATTATGAAGAAGTTAATAAATAAGACTGATATTTGATCGGAAACACTCCAGAAACTTCTGACTGAGCACGAGGCAATCATCATCAGGCAGACGAGGATTTCTTCCCACTTGTCTGTTGTGTGTTTTGACTCCTCTCACCAAAACGTATGAGAATGTAAGATTTACGTCTCACCACTTCTGCTTGGAGTCAGATCCTGGAATATTTGCCCTGACAGATATCAAGTAAGGACACATCATAAATTGAAGACTCCTACACTCAATGCCAAACATTTTGTGTGTCTCTTACTCAAATAAAATATACTAAGGCCTGGAGTGAGTGTGAATAACGACAACAATAGTACTTTAATTTCTTTAAATGTCTGACTTATACAAATTTTAATTGTAATAATATTTTTATATCCAATAAGAACTGTATTGTTTCATAGAAATTGGCAATACAAAAGTTAGAATTGGCATTTTATGTAGTTTTGGATGTATTATTCTGGTAATTCAACACTGTGTGTTACTGTCTGATTGGCCACTTAAGATGAACCCTTGGGGTCGAAACATGTTTGGCCTATTAATATACCACCTTTCAGTGTTAACAAGGCTCAGGCTCCGATCGGGGTTACGACTCGTTGCTTTAAAGAAACAGACCTATACGTCTTCTCCTCTGCCCTGCAGGCCAGCCACTGGCTCCAAAGAATGTAGAGGGTGGGGGAGAGGGACCACTTCAAGCCATGAGGCATGGCTCAGTGTATAATTTTACATTGAGTCGCTACACGGAATGAAAGGGTTTAAGATCTTACATTAGGCAAAAACAGTTCCCTCCCATATACTTTCCAATGCATTATTCATCAAATATCCTACCATTTAAAGCAATTTAATTCACTACATAATGTTTATATCAGCAGCAGTAAAACATACTTGTGTTTTTACTAACAATGGTTTGCTATCCACAGCAAGAGCAGAGCCAAGTACTTAAACCCTGTTACTTCAGAATTACATTAAATAATTACAAAATAAGTGATTTATCAATAAAATTGGATCACAATTTTTTTCCTATGTATTTAAGTTTTCAGAAGGAGGATTATCTTATATTAGAGTGGACACAGCATATTTATGCTCATCCATGTCTGTATGAACAGTCATCATCTGAGAGTGGACAGCCATCTGGATGATTAAAATGGAACCAACAGAGCTTCTGTTTCCTTGAAACATTCCTAATATTTCCTGGACTATGACGTTTTCGCCTTGAGATAGGTTTGTTCTCTTGAAATGATGCATTCACTGATGGAACTCTTAGTTGAACATAACCATGCTCTACAAGGAAAACGTAGCCATTATTCTTTAACAATGTCTGCACTCCACCACACTCATTCTTCAATTGTTTCAGTTTCTCTCTCGGTATCAGAGATGCTAATTCTGCCAACAGCATCTTTTCTCCCGCATTCCACAATCGCTTTTCACCTTCCATACTACTTACCAATATATAGTAATGCTTGCTCAGTAATTGTTCTGTGACTAACTTTAAAATTTCTTCCACAAACCCCCTGTGAAGTTGCGTACAATTGCGGACCTTTTCTTCTTTTTCACGAATCCTGACATCTTGCACCCATTTATTGGTCGAACCTTTAATTTCAGAACAGCCAGACAGTTCTCCAATCGTTGCTTCCATTCTCTTGCTGGTTTTTGAATCTATTAAAAACTGAATATCTCTATCCATTTTTAGTGATTTGTGTTCCGGGTAATTTCTTTCACAACCAACGAGACATATTCTTTTGGTGGAAGGGATTCTCAGCCTATCAATTTTAGTAGTAAATCCACATACTTTACATAATTTATATATGTAATCCAGGTAGTCCATATATTGACTGTGTGAAGAATTGTTACGCTGGTATTTCTGTCCATTTAATTCATAGCAACAGCAAGGAAGAAGAAAGAATCGACAACTTCGGGAGCTTCGCGCTGCAATAATAGGAATCCATGGTGTCAACTCATCTGAATGGTTACCAATTAACCAATCAGCTTCAGGGAATAGACATTCAGCAGATGGAAAAATTGACTGAACCTACAAAATGAAGTCATAATAATTATTCACAAATTAAACAACTCACAGCAGTATTTCCCCTATTTTTTGTAAAGAAAATATTCTGTGCTGGAACTCCTTCGCACAACAAAAACAGGGGGGGGGGGAAAGTCAGATACTTTAAAAGATATAAATCATAGTATTTTGTACAGTACAATAAATAAAATTTACATCTCTTACATGTTAGTTAATTTTCAATATTTTTGTACAGCCTATAGTACTAGACTTCTTAATAAGGAGGTTAAATTAACTTATGATGCATATACCTGTAGTTTGGTACTGGAAGGATATAAATCCCAGATTTTCCTCTTCCTAACATCTAACCCAACACCTTGATGACCTTCACTACTAAGTATATGGACCAGAAGACCATTCCCACAACCAAGGTCAACAAATGTCTGGTATGCATCTGGTGTTCCTCTCTGCAGTCTCTCCTGTTCCCAAAGCAGCAACAAGTATGTTGCAATGGCTACATCTTCATACACAAATTTCAGAGGATCCGTGTTTTCAGGCCATATCTAAAACAGAAATAAGTTACAAATAGAAACAGCTTTCAATATCTGTATCTGTCAAAGTATACTTTACATCCCATTGACGCATGTCATAACAACTAACGTGAAAATCCTTCTTCCCCCCTCTCTTTCTTTTTTTTAATATAAAAAAGAAAATTGTATTACTACAGTACATTGTGCCCAAGATATGTGCAAGTGAATTCTGTTTTCTAGATTGTAAATTGCACAGAATTACGGAACACAACAAAGTACATTTTTCATGCCTCTTCAAAAAATGTTCAGATCAGACATATCTTCAGAACCATGAGACACAGGGGGAGGGGGGGGGAAGTCCATGTTTTTAAATATATTTCACAGCTGAATCCTTAACACTTGCTGCAGGAAACAAAAAAAAATGTTATGTTGCCAAGAAACATCTAGTAACTCATAAGTCACACAAAATACAAGAACAAAAATATTGATGTAAAAATTTCACAAAAGAAACCAGGTTCCAAAATCTGATACAGAATGAGTAAAAGGTTTCACTTGATTCAACAAGCTTAACTAGAAAATAAGATCTATTTAATATAAGCAAATCTGTAAGAAAATTCTTACAGTATTGTTTGAAATCTTATTGCATATTTGCATGGATGCATCTAGTAAATAAATATTACTTTACCTGTACCATCTGAAGTGCATATTTCTTCTTCAGTTCCTGGTACATCTTACTGTACTTTGCAATATTAACCAAGGTAATTGAAGATGTTACCAAACCACTGCTTTCATTCTTAACATCAGCGGTCTCAGCCCATTTTATAATTTTGGGAAATAAGTAGGCCTTTATCCAGTCCACACTTGAAATACATGAACTATTCTCAGTCTTTATGGCCAAAACAATTTCTTTTTTATGTTTCAGGTATACCAATTTTAAGGGTGAGATTTGGCTGTTCATAATCTTCCTGCAGACCGATGAAGTGGGCCACATTCTGAAACTTATCTGCAACAGCATAAAATTCACAACACCATGCGCAAAAAGTGGTCAAAGAAATAACAAAATATTGGGTCCTTGACTGACATGTTGAATGATCATTTCTGATACATACAAATAAATGCCACGTTTCACCAAATGACTCACTTAAAATGTAAACATCTTAAGAGTAAATCATTAATAGCACAGGGAAAATAAAATTGACTATTCGCCTTCTAGCTAGGTAACTAGATTTTTATGTGCATAACTGCATCCTATACAGTGTTTTATCACACAATTCATGCTTATCAGTTGCACTGTAAAATTAACAAACAAAGAACCTTAAAAATTCACATTTTACATTTTCATGACAGATGACATCAGTGACCAATTTTGGCAGGATATCCGAAGTGGATAAGCACTGCGAAGGAATATGTCATCTTCACCAAGGGTCACATAAGAAAAGTTTTTTGTCCTTACCAAACATCTCATTAACTGTGGTATTACCTCATATTCAAGCAGCTACATTGATCTATGGATGGGACAATGTCCCACATGAGAGAAATGAGTTAATGAATATTAGAAAAGTTTACTTAAAAAAAAGAAGATATACACAAGGTCTGCTTACTTTTCTGGAGAAAATGTTTCACTCTATAGATATGCTTATCACACACAGTTTTTAATGCAACATTTTGGCAAAAAAAAAATATATGAATTCTATCATGGAGCAATACAACATTACTAACCTATAATAACAAGTTCCAAACATGGTTTGAATCTATCACTGTTTCTTGGTAACAGTTTCTTGAAGTAAATGTAGATGCCAGCCTCAGAAATATCACAATTCTTCTCTGTCTGAATTCCAGCTGTTTCTAGAGCCTTTAAAAGATGTTCTTCTTCAACTACAGTAGCAGCTGATATATTTGTATCCCTGAGCTTTGATACAATTATGTTATAATCTACTTCAGGATTCAAAATCTTGCCACTGAACAAAAATGTCACCCCACATAATCGTCTATTTACTACATGGGGAAAGTTGTTCCAGATATCAACTGCCTTCCAGAACTGTTCCAGTGAGGCATGTGTCTGATGATGAACTAAATTCCTCTGGTCATTTGAAGACATGATCTAGTTATGAAGATAAAGCAAATGAAGCCTAGTAACAGACTACAATTTCTGCCTGTGTCATAACTGCATGCTATTTTCTCGATTTTCCTGCATACTGAAATGAAGAGAAAAATTACACATGAACTAAATGGATTGTTCATTCAGTTACTTTATGATTCTATATTATGCTTTGAGGTTATGTAAAGATCACTGAGATACAAGAGGATCAATATAAATAATTATTAAGAGATGACAGATAATAAGGAATAGTAAAATAATAAATCAGTGGTTAATATAGCCAGACTACAGGATTGTATCTGCACCCAGGATCACACAAATAAAATGTAAGATTGCTAACCACTTCTATGCAACATTTGCTTTCAATCGCTGAAGTATATAATAGTAGAATGAGAAAAGGATGATGCAGTAAGTTATTTAATGGATACTGGTAATTACTGAAACTCTGCAAAATTCTTGTACAGAAGAGAAGGTCCCCTCTATGTTTCTGAACAAGTTTCAATCTAACAGTGCTTTCAGTCTCACTGTTAATTTATATCTAATTTTGTTTAGTTTAGGGAAATTCAAATTAGGATGATGAATATCTGCAGTCAATTCCCTTGAACTGTATTATCAGCTTGAAGTCTCCCTTGTATTCTGCAAGTTTTAACAGGCAGAGGAAGAAAGTCATACATGACCAAATTCTTTATTCTGCCCTGTAGGTCAATAAATGTGAAACAATTTTTATAACTGATGCTACACAACCATCATGGAAGACACTGTCCTGCTGCCACCACAATGAGTGCTTGTATAAGAAAGTAAATAATAATTGTGCCATTCGAACCAACTAAATACTTGCCTTATTCACAACCCATGATGCGTCATCCAGTGCTCTCTCTATAATTTGTTTGACACGTAAAGCGTCCGTCTCCAACATATGTTGCTTAAAACTCTGTAAAACACAATTCACAAAGGCAATTGCACCTTCAATTCAAGTTTTGAAAGATTCTTTGTCACAGAAATCTTACTTGTTTAACAGTATACTTGTAAATTTGCACCGTCAATTCACGTTTTTGAAGAAAGATTCTTAGTTACAGAAATCTTACTTGTTTAACAGTATGCTTGTAAAATTCGCTTGCATCTTTCGGAAGTTTCTGGCATTCACGTAGCAGATATTTGTACAATCCTTTCGCCGTACTCATTCTTTGAACCATAAATCACAGCCACCAGAATGTATTTAATCCACAGATAACAACAAACTTCACATCTGTGAAACGATAGTTATAAGTTGGAAAGTATGCTGCCATGTAATCGCAGCTGTTGCCAAACTAGCAAATGAACGCTACAATCCATAAGAATAGCAGATTGTATGTAATTTCGAGAGAAAAAGAAGAGTAGTCGCATGAGGCATAACACCCATACCAAATTTCATTTATTTCCGTCCAGTCCATATCTACGCCCGTTACTACTGAACAGGGTAGTTTTGGTTGAGTTAGGTTATGTTTTATTAGGTTAGTGATGCACGTGCGGATCATCTTTGTTACTTGCGTAATCACAGTTTCACTCTGCGACTTAAAACTGTTTGTTGGTAGTACCGAGTATAAAAAATTAAAGTAATTATTATGTAGTTGCCATATTCAATATAACATTTTATTAAAATAGCAATTTCATCATAAATATATAATAAACGAACCTGACGTGCAACGTGTTTATGCCTGCGTGAACAGCTTTGCCATCCGAACAAAACACTGGTGTCCAAAAATTGAAACAGGGTCATGCCTCATACAAAATTTTCTAATTTCCTTTGAATTATGATATGACTCATGTTCCAGGTGCAATGCTGCGGAACTAATGGTACTAAGATGGGTTCGTCTGCACTCCCTATTGGTCTGAGATCATACATTAGGAGGAGCCACTTTTGGTATATATTAACATCAAATTGCGGCCACACATCACATCATTCCCTGATGATGGAGACAGGGTGTTTCTCTGAAACGGACTGCAGCCCCATCTTGACGCAGTTTGTAACCCGAGAAGATTTTATTACATTAGTTCCCTAGATTCTTGTAGTCAACAAGAGTATAAACCTGCGTTTCCTTCACAAATGTTTTTAAATAATGAAATATAACTCACATGTTTGAACACATCTCTTATATTAAATTCAAACTGTGCTGTGTTCAATAACAGTTCAAATACTTGCAGAGGATTGTATTTGGCATCAGCAATCACTTGATCTCAAATCTGCTTGTACCATTTATTCCCCTCCCAAGCTGGAAAACAAAATTCAAAAATGCTTTAGAATCAAAAGGATAAATTTCCAGGTGTTTTGTGAAAAGGAATGAGACATGTGATGATCCATGTTGACCATCAGCAGCAGCAGAATCATGGCATCATATGTTGAGGTTTTCATTAAGCTACAAGATGAGGTACCAAAATTCTTCACCATCACAATCTTAAAACTTGCATACTGTGTAGTGTATTAGAATATAGAGTGAACAAACCAACAACTATTAACACTATAAAGGACACTATTGCCATACGCCACTGATGATGACCTCTTGAGGTCAAAACGTGTATGGCAATATTGTCCATTATAGTGTTAATAGTTGTTGGTTTGTTCACTCTATATTCACCATCACAACTAAACTGTGCTATTATATTACTTATATTCACTAAAATTATGATCCCAACATTAATGTGACTAGTTTGTGATGTAGTGTGTGTGTAAGGTAAAAACAAGACAAATTTAAAAAAAGATGGCAATCTGGCAGTATGACCTCTGAAACGTTGGTTAACATCGACCAGACTACACAGCGCAACAACCCAGAAGACAGAAATCTTCATACTCTGATGACAGAGGCAGTATGACCTCTGAAACGTTGGTAAACATCGACTAGACTACACAGCGCAACAACCCAGAAGACAGAAATCTTCATACTCTGATGACAGAGGCAGTATGACCTCTGAAACGTTGGTAAACATCGACTAGACTACACAGCGCAACAACCCAGAAGACAGAAATCTTCATACTCTGATGACAGAGGCAGTATGACCTCTGAAACGTTGGTAAACATCGACTAGACTACACAGCGCAACAACCCAGAAGACAGAAATCTTCATACTCTGATGACAGAGGCAGTATGACCTCTGAAACGTTGGTAAACATCGACTAGACTACACAGCGCAACAACCCAGAAGACAGAAATCTTCATACTCTGATGACAGAGGCAGTATGACCTCTGAAACGTTGGTAAACATCGACTAGACTACACAGCGCAACAACCCAGAAGACAGAAATCTTCATACTCTGATGACAGAGGCAGTATGACCTCTGAAACGTTGGTAAACATCGACTAGACTACACAGCGCAACAACCCAGAAGACAGAAATCTTCATACTCTGATGACAGAGGCAGTATGACCTCTGAAACGTTGGTAAACATCGACTAGACTACACAGCGCAACAACCCAGAAGACAGAAATCTTCATACTCTGATGACAGAGGCAGTATGACCTCTGAAACGTTGGTAAACATCGACTAGACTACACAGCGCAACAACCCAGAAGACAGAAATCTTCATACTCTGATGACAGAGGCAGTATGACCTCTGAAACGTTGGTAAACATCGACTAGACTACACAGCGCAACAACCCAGAAGACAGAAATCTTCATACTCTGATGACAGAGGCAGTATGACCTCTGAAACGTTGGTAAACATCGACTAGACTACACAGCGCAACAACCCAGAAGACAGAAATCTTCAACTTTATATGATTCCCATGAGTCAACTAAATTCGCTGTGATGCCCATGTAGATGCTTATCATCTAAACAAAAAAATTAATATTCTAATACAAATAAAACTTACAATTTAATTACACAACACACAATTACATAATACACCAACCAAATGTCTAGGTTATGTGATTAATACTTCTGTTACATGTACCAGAGCAGTGGTAGCAAACTATGCTCTGTTCCTTCACACAAATATTAGAACAATGCCTCAAAACAGGCTACACCTTCCATCCACATTATTACTAATTCCCAATCCATCACAAAAGCCACATAATGTATAAAAATGAAAACTAACCCAACCATCAGCCCAGTTCAACGTTTTATCAACACAACATTTTTCATTTTAATTTCACAATATTTCACCAATGGCAAAAGTTATCTTGCGTCAAAATAACCATGAGAAAATATTAGACTATTACACAAACAAAAACTAACCCCTGGGGTAACGACTCACCCAGTTGTCAGGAAAGTACTTATCAACTATCTCTTGCATCTTGGCAGTTTGTGCGCGAGGAAGAGACAAATGTACAGCATGGCTGCTTCAGTTGCCAGTGCAGTGTTGCAGTGTTCAGGGAAAGGGTATGCTGAAATCTGATTATATATATATATATATCATCTGACCTCAGCCATCCCAGAATTATGTTTACATATAAAATATTCATGGGGATACGCCTGAAAACAAACATAGTGTTATGTGAGAGAAAAATAAATGAGAAATAAAATTTGTAGAAACATATTCACAGCAGAAAAGTAGATCATACTTCTTTGCCTCTCATACCAGTCAGAAGGAAAACAAGCCTGCTAGATCTGAAACCATCGGTTCATTTAATTGTTGGTAGATATCAGTCGCTGACGGCTGCATAAAATACACAAATTTATTAACAGAAAGCTGATACTACACCATAACTGTTCCATCTACAACGCATAATGTGCTATTCTATGTTGCAGAAGTTTACCATCTGTAACACAATGTGGCATAATTTCAGTTACACTGAAAAGCACATTTCCAACCTTTGTTCAGAAAATGACCTACCCACATGAAAATGGATAATGAATTAAATCTCAGGTATTGTACATTCATGTGTCTAAAATGGTACTAACTTGAAATAAACCTCAGGGTGGTTGGGTACCCCCTTCGAGGCTAAAGTGTTAGTAAATCCAGTGAAGGGAAGCAACTTGCAGATATCATTAATATTGCTTTCTGTACTGAATCTCTGTGGACTGTGGTGGTAGTATGACACAAGCATTCTTTCTCTTACCACACCTTCAATATGAAGGTCAAATACA